AATTCAATCCCTCTTTAGGAGCCCAAATGCCAGACTGCATTGTGCCACACTGTGGTTGCTATTTGTGTCATCTGTCAAATCCTGCCTTTTTTCTTTAACAAACAGAGAACAGTTAAGAATCCTTAATATTAACATATTGTACCAGACTATTCAAGCATTATAATTTGATTTTTGTGCCGTCTTTACAACAGGAAGCGATCCTGACAATTTTCATCTCTTATTATTTGCCCATGCACGTTTACTTAAGTGATTTCAGTATAATCAGGCTTTACAAATAACTACGTTAGCAAAAGACATGGTAAGCATAAAAGAGAATGACTGACAGGTAAACACAAGAATGTTCACGAAGCAATTGTGGCTTCATGCCACACAAAATTATCACGGAATAAGTATGGTAGAAAAGATCGGTCTAAAGTCAGACCTGCAGCAATTATTGTATGTTTCCAAAATGTTTCAAAAAAACTCTTCCCCAGGTGACTACAATAATGGCAATAAGAATGCTTTTTAGAGGGATGCACTGATTAGAATGACTGAGTATCGTCCTTTGCTGCTCTTCAGGGAAATATGTAATAACTATTTCACTAAGGAGTAGGTTACTTCAAAGCTTTAGGGTGAATATATTTTTTAAATGTGGATCCTGACACTCAGCAGGGCTACAAGATTCCAAAAGAGATCTGAAGAATTTAAAAAGCCTTTTCTTAAAGGCAATGCATTACTAACTACAAAATATAATAAGATATATTACATTAAGTTAAACTATGAAGAAAATGAATGCAAGTAAAGTATACTAATTTATTTCCAGCAACAGTTCAGTTTCTCTAAAGTGCAAAACCCCTTTAGTTAGTGTGTTGGGTCTGTGTGAGATGGATTTAACTTTCCCCATAGCACCCCTCATTGTGCTGTGCTTTGTAGTGGTATTTATACCAGATAGCTGCCAGGATGCAGCTATTGGGATTTAACTGCCTTAATTGCAGGTAACAGCTTGATTTCTTCCTGGGAAGGGAAAGAATGCTCATATCTGCATTTAATAATTATGGTCAGTACTCAGCCTGCCATTGGAAGGAGCTGAAAGAAGCAGTTATTCAGTGACTAGGAATGCAGAGAGATTGCAAGAATACTATTTCTTAGTATAAGAAAAATTAACTAGGTGCAATTGCCTGTTTTTGTAAAAAGAAAGCAGTTGGTAAAATTCTGTCAGTTCTATACATTAACTAAATGTAATAATATGATCAGGTGGGTGTTGCAGTATTTTAGTTTCCTTGTCACTGTCCCCATCTAGTAGCTGATACATGCATTGAGCCTGAAATCGAAGAGTCGGATTCCTGACTGAATCTGAACATGTAAGGACCATGACTGAAACTGCAGTTTGCGTTGGAACGTTCACTGCTGTGAAGACACTTTGGGAAGTGAGAATACACAAGATAAATGAAGAATTACAGAAAGAAAAGGAATTCAGGCAGAGGTCTGCAGGAAGGTAGGTAAATTGTAGATCCTTAAGTATGTGAAAAGCTAGACCATATGTTACATTTCAGAACAGTGTAATTGGTCTTTTCAAACTCATCCAGGGTCTAATTCTTTAGTCTTTACTCCAGCAGAATTCGCGCTGGTTAGAATTAGCAAAATGGTCAGGTCAGACCAAGAATTGTGTTCTGTGGTAAAAATATTAGCATATATACAAAATCTCCTAAATTCAGATATTAAATTCCTCTCCCGTGTGGATATTCTAACCAGTGGAGATTTAATTTGTTCTGCTTTCTTCTCAATGGAGGCATCAACAGCGTCACTTGGTCTTCTCTCTGGCCGGCAATTTCATGAAATGTGAAGAAATTTAGCATTCTATTTTTGGAACTCTTCCTAATTTGTCAGATGTGTTTGAAGTGGCATAACAAATTCAAAAGTTACTAACAGAAAATACAAACAGAAAGAAAGAGAATTAGCCAGATTTTCAAATTCTTCTTGAAGTCCCCTTTGGAAATCAAGCTAAAAGAATCCCTAGTTGGTTGACCTTGTTTGATTGTGCTTACATTTGGTGGAACTGAAGGCTTTCTTTTCAGGAGACTGCTTCAAAATTAATGGCTTTGGGACTTAATTCTACGTGACTTCATATTCTGTTGCCCTGCTGCAACATCATGAAAGTCAGTGAAGTTATGTCTTCCTTTGGACTGTAAATTTGAAGAACTGTAAAATAGAATTCCTATAAATTACCTCATCCAAATAATACTTTTTGTTCATGCCTTCCCTCAAGTTGATACTGTATTTGGCATCCAGATACAATAAATGTTGTTTGACGTTCAAAAAGGCTACTGTCTCTTTGTTCCAGTAAGTAGAACGGATAGTAATTATTGCCTGTGTTCATTGTTGCACCACTGAGAGATCTTTCCCTTGTAGGCTACTGCTGGTCTGGGAGGAGAGAGCCGCTTTAGCAAAGCTCAAAGAAAAAGTTATTCATGAAGATGGAAGAGCAATTTTAAGGATAGAGGAAGAAGAATGGAAGGTAGTGTTGACAGGAGTGAATGTTGCTTGGGTTGAATGACTGATGCATTAGAAAACTACTATTTACAACTTTACACTCACAGCTGTACTATTTTTAATCTATGAAGTGCTCACCGTGTGCTTTGCTAACAATGAATCGAGAGTGTAAAAGCTATCCTTTTTTAGTCCTGAATATTAAGCATTACTCGGAAAAAATACAGCCCGAAAGGCTTTTCTGCATTAGACATTATTTACACTGCAAAATATGAGTTTAATGAGTTTAGGTAAATCCTCATTTCACATTAACACAGCAGAACTACTGAAATGTATCCAGGTGAAAACCCTCAGTGTTTAGGTGCATGAAAGTATTTCTTACTGTTGTTTACTTTCTCTTTCTAAGAATGAAAATGAGCCAGCAGATTCCCAGAATGCTGTTATTCTTGTTTCTAGTGCGTGGGGGGGAAGCGGCTAACTGTAGAATCCGTGGCAGGGTGGAAGCTAACAGTGTGTTCTGAGCCACCCAGAAATGCAGATCCGGTTCCTACGAAGTGATGAGAGTCAGACCGTGTGGAGGCCGGTGAGAGAGCGAGAGCGCCACACCCAGCAGTGCTCTGGTGGTCCCTCCGCCAGCGTTCCTTCTTCAGAACTTGTGGCATAGAGACACTGTACTCTTCCTGTCCCTCAGCTCTCCTGCTCTCAGCTGCTCACTGTTTTTCTTCAACAGAATAGGAAATGCAGTTTAGATCACCATTTAAATGCAAAAAGCTAGTTAGAGCAGTTTCATCTTCAGTTATATTGGCTCTCTTTAGAAAAAAGAAACAAATATAAGCAAGCCTGAGGCTTTTCAAGCAATGACAGTAGTGCAGACATCTAAATCCTGGGAGCAAAAAGTGGGCAGGTTAAATCTGTGGTCAGAATGACCCGGACTGATGTTTATTTCTGGACGTTACAGTATAGCTTGAGAAGGAAAATTTTATTTTATTTTATTTTATTTTTAAATCACGAGGCTGTTACTATTTTAATTAAAACTTCTACCTAACCTGTATTCTTGTTTGGTTCATATTTTTTTGTTTTAGACACTACCTTCATGCTTACTGAAACTAATCTATCTCCAGGAATGGCAGCTTCATAGAACTAGTTTGCAGAAAATTCCTCAGTTTATTGGAAGATTTCACAATCTTGTTGTTCTGGACCTATCCAGGAACTCAATTGAAAGTGTACCTAAAGAAATTGGTGAGCTGTGCTTTCTTTTATTTTAAGCTGCTTTTCTAAGATCGTTAATCTTACACAAACATGCCATTTTTGTGCACTTTGCCTGTCTAACCATCCCATTGGCTAGTTAGAAAACAGACGATTTAAATCTGACAGTGAGATACAGATCTCAAAACCATGGACTCCCTATAAATTAAAAAAAATGGCCAGATGGAGGAGATACATCCTTATGAAGGCTCCCTAGGAAAAGAAAAAAAAAAAAAGCTTGTAAGTACAGCAGATACTGCACATCAAAAAGCAGCTAGAAAAGTGATATTGAAAAACAGACTTCATGTTGAGTCCACAGCACAAGTACCTAAGCTGATAAGGTGGTTTTATATTTTTTTCGTGGCACTCAACTAGGGTGCAGTTCTGTACTAAAGAGTCCTGAAGTCCTACTATTGGAATTTCAGTGAATCTTTATTTTTATTTTTTTTTTTAGTGAGAACACAGAGCGCTCGTCTAACAGTATAACACAAAACAATTAATACTGTGTTTTGAACAGAATAAATGTGCACATTCAGCATGTCTCCTTTGTGCTCTCTGCAGGCCAGCTGACTAACCTCCAAGAGCTGCTTCTCAGTTACAATAGAATAAAGTCTGTTCCTAAGGAAATAAGTAACTGCGTCAGTCTGGAAAGATTGGAACTGGCTGTCAACAGGAGTATCTGTGATCTTCCTCCTCAGGTTTTGACAGGCTGTTTTGGTTTATTTTGTTTTGTTTAATGCGTATTTGGAATCGATCCAAAACCAATTATCATTAAACATTGCACTCCATGTTTTCAGGTTTGCTTTGATACTCTGATTTCATAACTGCTCCACAGAAACACGTATGTGAACAGTATTTCTATGCCTAGTCAAACTGAAGTCACATCAGAAGGACACACATATACCCGCGTAGTTGAAGGAGCCAGTCTTTATTTTGTCCAGATAAATGACTGTGTAGTGCGTACAGGACAGCGATACACTCAATATTATTTTGTTTAGGTCTTCACTGCTTTACCCCTCTGAGGATCTGATACCTCAGCACAGGGAAATTCTGTTTTATGGCTGAGAATACAAACTCATGCCATGTGCCAGGACACAGCTGTACGCACCTTTACCAGAGCTGCTAGTTAAGCTGTTTATACAACTGCCTATGCACAGAGCTGAACAAATGTTGTTCTGAGAGGCTGACAGCAATTGTGAGAGAGTAAACACAACTGCTCACCTACTATTGAGCTTTAATTTGGGCTGACCTAAATGTGAAAGAGACCTGCATCTCCAAGTATTAGTCTCTTAGAG